ATTTAACCCTTTAAGCTCCTTACATTTCTTTTGGTACCTTTTTTTGATCTTCAGCCACACATTCCCTTTTGGGAGTTTTTTTTTCGGAAAAAAATTTGGCTAAAAAAAATTCAAGAACATTTTTTGTATTTTTAAATTTTTGATTTTTAAAATTTGCGGGCAGCGGGCCAGAAACGCACCGCTTCCCATTTTGATAGGCTTAGGGGAGTATTTTACGATTAGTTCGGATCTGGGCCAAACCCCCAAAGTCTCTCTTTGGGCTTTCCCGGGTTTGGGGGAAGGGAGAAGGGGGATCCAAACAGCCCCCTTTACAGGCAGTCTTATGGGGCAAAACATTATCATTGTTTCCTTAAATACGAAGTGCCCCCTTTCCTTTAAAAAGGAAAGGAACCACTGTTTGCACACAAATAAATTTACATAGGTAAAAGGGGGGTGTGTGTGCAACTCAAATTTTTTAGAAAAAGTCTAATGAAAAAAACAATCAAAACTTTTCCGCCATTTTTATAGACAGTAAAACCCCTTGGAAGAAGTGAACAAACAACTTTTAATTTTCCCCGCCGTTTATATTTGACGAACATGGAAAAAAAGTTTTTTTCATTTTTTTTGAAAAAATCACCATCATTGAAAAATCCTGAGAAATTTTTTTAAAGAAAAAAAAAAGGTTTTAACAAAATGGGTGGAGTTTTTTTAAAAAGCATGTCGGGGACACTTTTATTTTTTCCCGGGGGATTAAGAAAAAGGGGAAACATTTACTTGAGGAATAGACGGTTAGTTGCTTTCCCTCAAGGATTTTGCAGAAAAAACCCCAAACTGTATTTTCTCTTTTGAAAATTTTACGTCCAGTAGTTTGCTATTTCTCCCTGATGGTCGGGCTCCCGATACCCCAAAAACAAGGCGCATGGCCGCATCTGGGATCGAACCCGGTACCGCTGGCATTACAAGCGTTCGCATCGACTTACCCACAAGCCGACTGGCTTAGAGGAAAAAACGGCAAACAGCCAAGTTGTGGATTTAAATGATTCCATTGATTTATTCCCCTGTTCAAACTTCCCGCATTGTGTATGAAGTTGTTTTTTTGTCAAAAGTGGTTGACAATCGGCGGACACGGCCCCGGCATACAGCGCTAGAAAAGTCAACGTCGAAGTGACAACCTTTGGCTGTGTTGTATTGACACCTGACCATGGGACCAAACGCCGGTTGAACTGTGGCGGGGGTGTTGCCACTGGAATGACTGTGTTGACTTGACCCCCCCCCCAGTGTTGCCGGGCTGTTCGTGCCACTGGACAGAGTTTCACAGGACCTGGGACTCCGAGTCGGCAAGCTGCATTATGTCGTTCAGGCAACGAGTGTCATATGTCACTGATACACTTGTGTCATGTGTCACTGATATACTTGTGTCATGTGTCACTGATATACTTATATCATATGTCACTGATATACTTGTGTCATGTGTCACTGATATACTTATATCATATGTCACTGATATACTTGTATCATATGTCACTGATATACTTGTATCATGTGTCACTGATATACTTATATCATATGTCACTGATATACTTGTGTCATGTGTCACTGATATACTTATATCATATGTCACTGATATACTTGTGTCATGTGGCGCTGAATATACTATGTGGCAGTTTTCACTGATAATACTTATATCCTATGTCACGGATATAACTGGTCCATGTGTCACTGATATACTTATATCATATGTCACTGATATACTTGTATCATGTGTCACTGATATACTTGTGTCATGTGTCACTGATATACTTATATCATGTGTCACTAATATACTTGTGTCATGTGTCACTGATATACTTATATCATATGTCACTGATATACTTGTGTCATGTGTCACTGATATACTTATATCATGTGTCACTGATATACTTGTGTCATGTGTCACTGATATACTTATATCATATGTCACTGATATACTTGTATCATATTTCACTGGATATGCTTTGTATCTGTGTCCAATGATATACTTATATCATATGTCACTGATATACTTGTGTCCATGTGTCACTGATATTAATTCATCATGGGTCACTGATATGCACACTTCATGAGTCACTGTTATACTCACGTCATGAGTCACTGATATACTCACATCATGAGTCACTGATATGCACACTTCATGAGTCACTGTTATACTCACGTCATGAGTCACTGATATACTCACATCATGGGTCACTGATATGCTCACATTATGAGTCACTGATATGCTCACGTCTTGAGTCACTGATATGTTAACGTCATGTGTCACTGATAATACTCACGGCATGAGGCACTGATATACTCACGTCATGAGTCACCGTTATACTCACGTCATGAGTCACTGATAATACTCACGTCATGAGTCACTGATAATACTCACGTCATGTGTCACTTATAATACTCACGTCATGTGTCACTGATATACTCACGTCATGAGTCACCGTTATACTCACGTCATGAGTCACTGATAGGCTCAAATCATGAGTTACTTATATACTCACGTCATGAGTCACTGATATACTCACATCATGAGTCACTGATAGGCTCAAATCATGAGTTACTTATATACTCACGTCATGAGTCACTGATATACTCACATCATGAGTCACTGATATGCTAACTTCAAGAGTCACTGTTATACTCACGTCATGAGTCACTGATATACTCACATCATGAGTCACTGATATGCTAACTTCAAGAGTCACTGTTATAATGAACGAATTAGAACAGGCGGAGGAAATAGTAACAATTATCCTCGGAAGAGGAATTGCAGCATCAATTTTTAATTTTACTACAGAATTGACCCTAAGAGTTGGTTAACAATTGGTCAAAAAGATCGTGAATCTTCTGATCTGGCAGCTTCTGCGGCATGTTGTGTTGCAAATCTATTGATATGACCTTCCCTTTGGAGTAAATAGGCTAGACCGAGAAAGAACCATGCCTCATGAGCAAAACATGGTCTCTAGAAGACTTCTCTAGCTTTGTGCCTTGGAAAAAGGTCAACTTCTTCCCAAACCCTAACTGATTTTCACCGAAACTTATTTCCAAACCCCAACTGATCTTCACCGAAACAATCTCACAAGCATCAGTGAGGGACAGTTTCTTGTCAGATGGTTGCTTGGAAAGAGAAAATAACCAAGGAAATAGGGATCAAGTATAAAATGATCGCAGATAGGTTGAGAGCTGTGCCTTTGAAGCATGTTAAATGCACGTGATGACAACAACGGTCCTGAAATACCATGCTGTAATGGGGGGATTCTGCTGATCATACTCGTCATCGTCCCCTGGCCTCGATCAAACTGCGACAGTCCGTCTTTCACTGTGTGGCTACACAGGAGTCTGTCTGCAGCTATCTCCCAGGTGTCTGTCTTAATGCTGGTATCTTTCAGGTTGAGGTCATACAAGGTCCGACAATTCGGTAATGAGACTGATTTTATTATGGCCAAGACACAAATGCTATCTATAAAGCAAAGCATGGAATCTAAAGAGGCAACATTTATGTATGGTCTGGCAACTTTTCATCGCCGCTCGATAAGCATAGCCCAACAAGCCGCCCATTTGTTGACCAACAAAGGTCATTACGAATCAGACAGAGGCAAAAAGCTAACATTAAATTCGTTTTAAAACTTAGAAACAAACCCATTGTACAGGTTTAATGATGCAACAATTAATGGGGATAATTTTTTTATCTG